ACCAGACCTTGAGGGCATTTTAAGCTCTTCACTCCTTTTCACATCTTATGGATGAACATCTAAGATCAACAAGGTACACAGAAGGAAGAATACTCTTCTTCAGGTGAATCCTCTTCCAAGATGCCAAACTAGATACAGACACTGTATGTCTTCCATGTCACTCTAGACATCTGTAGCAGTCCTGCAGCACCAGCTGCAGTGCTAAAAGGGCACAGTCCCCCAGAGATGCTGTGACTCATCTGTTATATCTTCTCTTTGCATCTGATTTGGACTCCTGAGGACTTTCTATGCTGAAATTTCAGCTGTTTTCTAAATGTGCCATCCTGTCTCTTGGTATTGGAAAGTAGGAGGCAGAGGGAGACGTGCAGGCAACCAGCTTGCTTTGGATAAGAATAATAAGCACATGAACATCAGACTTTTTTCTATTTTTTGCTAGAGAAAAAAGCTGCAACTTGTTCTGCAGGTGGCAGGCAGAAGGTTTCATAAAGCAATGTAACAGGGAAGGGAAGAAAAGAATCCCTTGCTGACACATGGCAGAAAAGGAGGGAAGACACCTTCGAGCAGTCATTCTGAGCAAATCATGCAGAATTTCACTGGTGAAAGACTTGCCTTGCTGATTCTCATTGCTTTTGATGATATATTAATGGGATCCATCCCAAGTACTTTTAAACTTATGTAGAAAGCCATGCACTTTGTCATTTTCACTGCAATAAATGTCTATAACTTCTAGTAGACTTCAATTAATAGCTTTAGGGGTTATGGGCATGCTGTTGACTGGTATGTACCAGATGAACATCTTCTTTTATGACTTGACTTTCTTAGGTCTGCATTAAAAGGAGAAAGGATGCGAATCAGAAACAACAAACAAACAAACCCACAACACAACAGCAATTGCACAGATGAAGTGAGAAAATACTCATAATGAACAACTTCAAGACATTCAGATTCCTAGTCTGACACACGCATGACCTTTACCTATAAAGAGGAAAAATTCCTAGCCCCCTGAGGGAGGTACTTTTTTTGTGTGACTTAACATGACCCAGACCTGCTTGATAGATCCTTAGGACCTGAGGTGAGAATGGAGAGGAATGCATCATTGCAAAGAGCCATGAGCATTAACATCAAGAAAAGAAAGAGAGAAGTCCTCAGACTCTGCAGCTTGTATATACACACTTGCATATGGCAGGAGATGTTTACATCAGCTGTTTTCAGGCTCCGACACTGATTGGAGGGAGAATACTGTTTGGAAGGACTTAAGAGCAAGCTTCGGCTTCGGGTGAATGGATCTCTGGAGTTTGTTCTTACTCTGAAAACAACAGTGTTGGGAGCAGTTTCTTAACCCTAGGCCAGACTTAAGTTTTAAGAATACTCCCTTAGACAAAAACTGTGTAGTCAGATGGACAGAAGAGAAAGGTCAAACCACAATCATTACTAGTGATTTTTGAACCATTTTCTGCACTGTAAAAATGTGCATTTACACCTTTGAATAACTACTAGCCTTAAACTGGACAGATCTTATTTTCCCATATGCACATCCATGAGAAAGTGAAGTTGATAGACAAGAGAGGCAATATGGTGTAACATGGTGTCTTTGGTGTAGTAGTAGCAGTACTGCTTTTTGTAATCATGTCAAGAGACCATGAAGCCTGAATATTTTCGTATGCTTCAAAGGTAGCCCATCTATTTGTCTCTCTAATAAAACATTGCTCACCTGATGTTGTCTTCAAGAAATTTCAGGTTGTGTTCAGGCTCTGTAAGCTTGAATTGCCACATTAGCTGAGTTTCTGCTGGCTGTCTGTAGCATCTCCCCTGGGCTTGCTCATAATGGACTTCACGCATGAGCTGTGGGCTTCAACTCCCTACAGCCTGCCTTAAACCAACAATATTTAAACTGATTGAGGTTCAGTTCTCCTCCATCTCTCATTGTGAGAGATGGCAAAGAAAAGCATTCAAGCCCTTGTGCTAAGTGTTACTGCTATCATTTTCTTCTCAAGTCCCATACTGCATTTTTGTCTTAAGTATCTCATGACTTACTTATCTTCCTGTGCTTTATTTGACTGTGTTAGTGCTCCTGACCACCCTGTCTACAGCTATAGGGCAAGATAAGCTGCTTTTTTGCCTTACTGAATTGCACTGTTGATGTGTGATTTATCTCTCTTACCCAAATAATTATACTCCTAATCTGGGCTTTGTTCTTTGAAATTTCCAGGCAAACATTCTGTGTAGGACAAAGGTATCACAGAAATACAGAACAATTGAGGTTGGAAGGGACCTCTGGAGGTCATCTGGTTTCCCTTGCTTAAGCAGGACTATCTAGAGCTGTTTGCCAAGGACCATGTCCGGATGGTTCTGAATATCTCCAGGGATAGTGACCCCAGCCCTGGAGATATTCAAAGGCCATGTGAAGACAATCAGATATGGACACAATTAAATCTGTAGGAGAATATGGATAATAAAATGTTTTGTACTAAAGAGTTCTGCTTATCATCATCCTCAATTATTCTGGTATCATCAGATCTCTTACAGGACAATGTGTTTTCTCCTGTATAGGAATAATTCTAAATCCCAAGGTGCTGATTTTAACAGAGGATATTTTACTGTGGAGCACAATTTCTCTACAACAACTTTCCCTTAGCTCATATCAGCTGGGAAAGCTGCAAACTCTGCCCTCTTCTGTGGAATTATCTACAGCTACACAGTCTTACTATTGGGCTGTACAAAGGCTCCCTGTTATGGATTTTCTTCTGCAAACTATGATATTCTCCTGTTTTCTTAAGCTGTGTGTTCTGCATTGGCTCAAAATTATAGATTTGCAACTGTAAAGTGAAAAGCCACTGGTAGGGGGAGGCAATCAGGAAGTCACAATGACATAAAATAGGACAGAGGGGCTACAGGCTCTTTCCTAACTCAAACTAAAATAGTTAGACCTGGACAGTTCCTGACAGGGAAAATGGTTCAAATAAAAAATCCAGCACAATCTGTCTAGAAGTTTAAGAGCTGGAAAGGAGTTGTGTGTCTGCACATGTATCTGTTTCTTCCAGATGGATCTTATGGTCTAATATGTTATTGCCTTTCCCATTAACCTCCCTTCTCTAGACATCGGCTGTCTAGCTGCCAAAATTCCTCACTGGGTACAGATACCTTTCTCCCGAACGGTGTATTTATGCAGTTTGTTCCCTGTTCCTTTCTTATCCCCAGTTAGTCTAAGCCAGCATAAGCTGCTTCTTGCCACAGGAAGGTAATCTTTTCCTTCCAGAAGAAGGCCAGACGCAGCCAACAAAATAGTTTTCTCCAGATAAAGTGGGAAAAATAGACTGCACCCACTTTGGATACAGTATGAGGATGCCTGAGCTGTCTTCAGTATCCATCCTTGGCATCATGTCTCAGAAACATTCTTTTGGCCAGCTGTGACACAGCCCTCTTATTTCACATACTCTGACCTGAAATAAAGTCTTAGGGGAGCCACAGGTCTGGGCACCAGGCTAGTCCATCCCAATGGGGCCTAATTCTGCTCACTGTGGGTGAGTGATAGACTGTGGTAAGAGATTGATAGATAGGTATTCCCTCCTTCTCATGATCCACAGATCTGAAGACTTTGAACCATCTTCTCAAAGACATCAGTTTCTCTTTTTTCAACTGAGACCTAGGTAACAGAGACTTGGGTGACTGACATTTTAGGGGGTTAGTGAGGGCACAGATGTTCCCACACCGACCGGTTTCCCAGTGGTGCACAGGGAGGTCTGAAAAACCTGACCATGGAGGTATCACTTAGGTCATGACTCTTCATGATGGAAATGAGGGCTCTGGTGTCCTACACCATGTGGATGGGTGTTTGAAACAATAGAGACTGATGTCTTTATCTGGCTGATAAATTTCTGTATGAGTCAATGCTTTCCCTCAGTAGTCACACATTTGTAGATCCCTCTTTTTGCTTGTGCAGTGTTGCAGGATTTTAATTCTGCCAAAGCTCTTACGCACAACCAAGAACTACTCAGGAAAATGTCATGCCTTGATTTGTACAGAGACATAGAAATGGTACTCCCAGTCTCAGTCTTGCCTGAGAGATTGGGAAAAGGTGTGGAGTGCAAGATAAAAAGGTTCAGGGTGTCATCAGATAATCAGGATAAAAATACTAGTGAACAGCTCCCCTTGATTTACATTATGGTGGTAGAATGCACTAAAAAGAGCATTTTACTGTTTTTGGATTTGCAATGCAAATTTCACTTATCTTCTGCATAGGGTGAGGGTCTTCCTCTAGGTGTCTGCAGGGTCTGACACCTGACAAAGCTTTATTAAACAGACCTTACTATGCATTCTGGAGAGGCTGTCTTGAAGCCAGCAGTAACTCAGTCAGTATGTGAAAAACCTTATTTCTCCTTCAGGATGTGGTTAACTTGTTTTTCAAAGCAAGGGGGGGTTAAACTTGCATGGTGTAACTTAGTCATAAATGTTGACCACAGCATCCTGCTTGTTGCTTGTGAGAGAAAGATGAGTTGGGGAATATGTGTCTTGGGGTCTTTTTGACTAATAAACAAGTTGCTATGGAAACTATCACTCCATCAAACCACTATACATTATTTTCTGTTGGCATCTTCCTAGTACCAATGAGTGGAAAAAACCCAGCATGTTTTCTTCTCTTCTGATATGTATTTTCCTTCCTTATGCTCATATCAGGCTGTCTCTTAACGGATTTCTCCTTAGACACGTCTTTTTTTGCCATGATCCAAAATATCTTGCTGGGGTCTCTTCAAAGTGATCTGAAAGATCAGACCTCATTTGAATCCTCTAAGTCTAGAATTCAGGGCCCTGCTGAAGCTTTTTAATGTGCCAGAGAGAATCTCCACTTCCCTGTACAAAGTCTAGACAAGACAAATTCAGCCAACAGGAAATCTAGGTTATCAAAGCTGTATTTCTAATCTTACTGGTCATTAGGATACTTGGATTTCAGCAATCTTCAACCCAAATTCAGAAGAAAGAGCACAGAACAAACCACAGCATTTTGGCTTAGTAAAACTTTATTTTGGTCACTACTACAGTAACCTCAAATGCAGGTGCCATACACTTTGCAGAAGAAATACAGGTTTATTAAAGAAATGCAAATAAAAATGTCTCTATAGTTGAACATGATCTGGTTGAAGTGAATCACTTCTGATCCAACACAGGTTTTCTCAACTACACTAGAAAATTATTGTTATTAAAGCTATCTAAAAAACATTAAAGCTATAAATAGCATCTACCATGCCTGAATTTTCTAAGCAGTAATACATCAGTTCTACAGACAGTAATGCAATATGCCTGTTAAAGGTGTTTTAAAAGGGTCATATATCTATAGTGAGGTTTGGATTTTTTGGAACTATTGAAGCAGGTTGGATGTTTCTATGCAAAGGCTAGAAGAGTGGGGAGATCAATTTCTACTTAGCAGGGGGATGAGGAAAAATACACTCTCCTCAGCTCACAGAGAAAAAGAAATAGCAAAAGCAGTTACAACTCTTACTACATAAACTAGCTAGGCAGGATTCAACAGTGTAAAATGTCTTAAGGGGAAGGTGCTGTGTTGTGTTCTGGATGGTTATTGTCAGCGGATTTGACATAGGCTGTTCAACCCATTGTGCTGCTGGTACATGCTCTCTCCTGCTGTTCTTCAGATTGCTGTTGCCTTGCTTCCCCACTGCCTGGAAAAGCAAAGTGTGTTTAAATTACATTTAATGTAATTTGGCCTATGCACCACTCTTTGATTACTGTCAAATCAAGACAGGTAGACTCACAAAACTTAGGCTGGACTATCTTTTGTGCCTGTTTGGATACATTAATTTAAAACTCCTCCCCCCTGCTTCTCTTTCCTCCCATTACTTCATATGTTTGTGTTTCGGGAACCTTGTTTTTGACTCCTTATTTGCCTTCATTTTTTTCCAGGCTTTGTGCTTTGCCACTTGAAATAGTCAATGAGATATCTCTTGGGCACTTCTGGTAATACCTGAGCTGCTCTAGCAAAACAAGTTTGCTGCAAAGAAAATTTGGGGACCAGCCACCAAGAACTGAGCTTTGGATACAGAAAGGGGCTGGTTTTTTTGTGGTTTTGGGGGGGAGGGTCGGGGGGGTTGGTTGTTTTTTTGGTAGGTGTTGGGGTTTTGTTTGTTTGTTTTTTCCCCAGAAACCTACAAGAGTTATTTAACAGAAACAGGAGCAAATGAACAGGTATCATTCCTTGTGCATTAGAGAAGTACACAAAGACAAGCAGTCATTCCTGGCATGTGCTTCCAGTATTTCTACAGATCAAGCTATGTGCTTCCTTACCTCAGAAAAGAAACAACTTGATACTCATGAGTGTATTGAAGGCGATACTTTTTGCCAGCAGAACTCTCAAACCCAAGACAGCCATAGACAGCATGTTTGCTTTCTCCACTTTGGTATCTGCTTAGTGATAGAGAAAAGATGGGAGAGATCATGGTCCAGATTTGGATATTGTGGTATTGGCAGAAAGTGAAAAAAAACTCAAGTAATCATTTCAGGGAAAGAAACAGCAGCAAAGGAAAAGATGATAGAGAAACATGGCAGCAACAGGGGAGGAATATATCTGTCTAGACTAGATTTGGTTCCTGTTGATTGTCTGTTACTAAACTAGCTACCTTGAAAAAGCAGGTTGTGTTTGATGAATATGTTGTATTCTGATTCCTCTACCCCTGAGAAAATACATTTCCACGCGTTTATCCCCAACATAGTAATGTAACTTCACAATCTATTTAGGTAACTAACCTTGTGCAGCCGTGTCTGTGGTGTTGCAGACCTTCCCTGTTACTGGTCCTTCAGCCTTCTTTTCTGTAGCATGATAAAGAAAAGGCATTTTAAACTATATCTAAATTTTAAAAAGGGTTAAACAAAATATTCATATGACCCTTCCCGTAGGAACATGTGGACATGGAGCCTCATGAGTCTGAGGCTCAGATGACCAGTCACTAATTCTAACATTAATTTGAGGAGAAGATTTCTCCATGCAGTTGCAGGAAACAAAAGAATTCCTGAGTTGTTTTGGTTTTACTATTTGAATGACCTTCATGATGACAAAAACAATCCCCCAAAATATGAAAAGTGGTTTAGGAAAAAAAACCCCACACCACCACTTTAACTTTTTGTTGTTTTTAGAAAGGCTATTTCAGGCTGTGCTCTAGGAGGTTTGCTGGTATGTGGTGAAGCATTTAGTCATAAGTAAATGTACGTTTTAAAAAAAGATTGTGTCTTTTTTTCCCCTCAAGAAAAGTAACTCCAAGTTGTTAAACAGTTAAGACCATTTATTTTAGATGCTTTAAAATATCTTTCAGCTCTGTCTGCTTAAGTACCAGATGTCTTTCCCATTTCTGCTGGTTACCCAGGGCAATGCTTATTAGCAGGAGAAATAGCAAGCGCTAGAAGACACTGCCTCCAGAAATAAGTTGGAGCTGTACCACAAAATTGTACCTGGCAATGTTGTGTTGGCTGTAATAGTCCTTCCGTCGAATTTGGCCATGCAGGTCACTTCTGTGCCTTTTGTCACATTGACCACCTTAATAGTGTTGTACAACCCCTCTGATGTCAAAATAGGGGTACTCTGTTCATATACGACTGTACTCTGTTCATATATGCCCTCCTCAGAGGACATCTCCAAGATGACGTTCTTTGTATAAAAATTCCTTGCCAAACAAACTGCTTTCCCAGTGCTGCCATCTTCTTCCAGTTTCTTTGATTTCATCACAATGACTTCTGAGTCAGAACTATTTTGATTGTCTGAAAAACAAAGCATTGTTTGGACATGATTTGATTTTATTGTAAGCTTGCCTGAGTACTGAGAACCTACTGAGAACCTAAAGTTCATATATATATTCCAGCTGTGACTAATTCCTAGCATTATCAATGACTAACTGCCTTTTTTGTCATTATTTCTTGCCACTGCTTCCAAAAGATCAGATCAAAAACAGAAAGGGTGTATGAGAGTAGGTTTTTTTATAGGAGCTTTAATTCCACAGGTTTCTAAGCTTCCTTTTGTAAAAGCTCGTGACTATATGTGAGTTCTTTATTTTATAAGTAAGGGACCTGCAAATGAGAAGAGAACTTTTATGCATGCCACTCTAAGAGTCAAATTATTCTGGTTTTTCAACAATTTAATTCCTAAAAATAACACTGCTATCAAGGACTCTTGCATATTCATGAGACATGAGGGAACAACTGTTTTTCCTTTACTCTCCCTCCCCTCCCCCAAATCTTCTTCTGATGTGGCTAAAAGGTCTAACCATAGCAAGAGTGGTAGGGCAAAGAGAAGTCAGTTTGTTGCTTCACTGTTGTGCAAGGTTACTCCAAGGAATGACATTACTTGCAGAAATGAAGTACTGCTGCTGGAGTGGGGGACAAGGTTGATCTTTTCAATAACAAATGCTCAGATGCAAGAAGGATTTTTGTCTCTAAGATGGGAAAGTAGGAGAGAAGCAATCAGAAGTCTGTGAATTGCATATCTCCACTTCTCCAGGAGTTTCTGGTAAGGTCAAGAACTTTCAATTGTGGGGGAAGTTTTCCCCACTAGACATTGCATGTGGTGTAAGACAGTCCAACCTAGTCTGGAGACAATGAAAAGAGAATAGGGTTGGTACTCGGTTCAACAAAAATTCTTGTGCCTGTTCCAAAAAGTGTGACCTTTCTCATCCATGTGCTGTGCCATATTGTTAGTCCCACAGCTCCAGGGGCAGTTAGAAGTATAAGGCGCAATTTTATAATAAACTGATTTGAAGGGAAGAACACCTCGAGGCCTATGAACTTGATGTCCATGGATAAATCTTCTTCCAATCTTCCTTAGATTAGTGTCAGATGTACTTTTTCTGTTTTGAAATAATTTTAGAGTTGAATTCCCAATTCCAAGCAAGATACATGAATGACAAAGGCTTGACAACTGTAAAAGCCTGAATTTCAACTATATACCAGCAGTCTTCTCTGTACAAGTACTGAAGATCTCTTAAACTTGAAGGGGATGTCTTTTCAGGAAACGGTTGGTCTCAAAATAATTTAGTAGCCAACAAATCATTATGATATAATGATTTTTCTAAAATAAAATTTCTTTGCCCTCAGGTCATAGGTGGAGAAACTAGCGTGATTCCACATACCAATGTCAGAACAAGATTAGCAACATGAATTATAATAAAAACATGAAACTGAAGGGCATCATCTAGTATGCTTCCTTGCCAAAAAGGGCTCAGCTTAGGAAAGACTATGAGACATATCAAAAAAGATTTACATGTCTAACTTGACAGGAGTATCCTGATGGGTCTCTTTGCTAAAGAGAGGTGCATTAGGCCTTGAATTTTGCATGGCATCTGCCTTGCAGTTTGGTCAAGAGGTCGCTCAGGTCTAACATTTTGTTAATCACAGGGTTTTTTCAAATTCTGTTCCAGGGGCTCTGATTTTACTCTCTTTCCCCCACCTCTCACTCCCCAATACTGAGGAACTGAGGTGAAAGCAAAGCAGTACTCTACCATAACTTTAAGGGTTGGCTCTACTAACAAAACAGGCACAACTCCATGCTTGTCAACACCTACAGCAAACAGATATCAAACAGGAATCAAACATTCATTGACTTCATTTGACCTATTCAGTTTAACTCAAACTCTGAACAGTTTAGTAAGATTAAACTAGTACAGAATAAGTTGCATAAGATTCCATTTAATGCTTTTGTATATTATCCTTCTCTCCCCTCAGTGCTGTCTTTCTAACTCTGACAGAATAGAAATTCTTAGGAACTTAAATGTCAACTTCCACAGGAACTTTAATTCCCTTCAGACTGTCCAAGCATGGCTTTGAAACCTAACAATTACTGTGGAAAGCTTATTAGGATGCCTCAGTAAGTGGACAGATGTTAGGTCCCAAAGAAATTCAGCATGATAACAGCCAGCCTTGTCCTTGTGGAGCCCAAATTCTTTAGCAACTCCCAGAAGTGCAATCAACATGCTTTTTATACTTAAATTGTCTAATTGCATATCAAAAGGTTATGCACAGAAAGTCTGAAGTCTAATTAGTGACTTTAAAGAATGGGAGAGTGGCTGCCTGAATTTTAGGAGGAAGAAAAAGAAAAAAAGTGAAAATCCAAACAATAACAACTCAGAAAAGGTTAATGCATAAAGAATACCTACTTGGCTCCACGGTCAGTTGAGTCCCAGTCCCAAAGACAAGAGCAGCAGTAACACACAGTTAAAACGTGTAAATCAAAAAAGGCTCATTTTGCTATTCCTCCTACATACATTTCCTTTCCAGGTGCTGTAACATGTTTTTGCCAGACCCTGTTAGTCCTGTGCATTCTTTGTTATCTGAGAAGATCTTTAGAGGCTTCTCATTTTTTCTGATCTCCAGTATTTCCAAACAGCCAGTATACTAGCAAGCTGCTTCTCTGGCATAACTCACCAGGTAAAATCTTCAGCAAGAACAAATGTACACTGTGCAACTGTAGTTAATAAAGCAGAATTATCTCTTTATCAGACCCCAGAAGCCTCAACTGAGTCCCGCTGTTTTTCATTACCTGAAAATACAGCCATGAATTCCTACCACTGCTTGCTTTTGGGAGGGATTTTTTTATATTACATTCTGGCAGTAGCATTTTATTAGCACACAAAGTTGTACTTCTTTTTCCCTTTAATCTTATGAAGTCATAGGAATAGCGATATATTTCATAATGTTATGGGCTTTAGTTTTCTTAATGAAAGTTTTATCTAGAATGAACAAAACCAAAGCAAAACAAGAACCTTATCTGTCCTTAACTGAGCTCTCAAGAGGAGAATATGCCTTGAATATCCTATAGTGACTACTAACGCATGTTTTCTACATCATTTTGTGTTTAGGGATTCCCAAAAGATTTGGGTAATAAAGTACATCTGTTCTTAGCATCTTAAAATGCATATTAGTATCTCCCAAAGAAATCCAAATTTACCAACAAAAAGGTCAGGTTGTGCAAATTCTGGAAATTTTGACTTCAGCTTATTAAGTATTTCAACAGACACTGAGTGACTTAGATGCTTAAAGCCTATCATCTTTTACTGTCAAACATAATCCTAAAGCTTTGTGCATGTTTGAAAATGTCATCCTATCCTTAGCTAGAAAAAGAGAAATTATTGATCATGTAATTTTGCATCAGGATGTCAGAGAGGATAGATAGGCAGGAAAAACAGAGAAAGAATGATTTCAGGCGTTTCGAAGTAGACAAGAAGACAAGACTAATACCTTTCTTTCATCAAATGAACTGTTCTCTAACTCAAATGGTGGGAAACTCAGTGAAGATGTTTTAGAAATTTGAGTAATGTACTGTAAAAGTTTGCTTAAACCAAGAATATCTTGTTGCAGTCAATGAGCCACATACTACCTTCAGCTGACTAGAAACAAATCTTTTGTCAGCAGAAGAACCAACACTTTTAAAAAAAAATCCATAAGACCCTTTATGTGAGAAACAAGTGTGTCATATCAGCATTTCTGTAAATGTCTGAAATGTCAGAATGATAACTTTGTATTCCTTTGCCCCTTTGGAATTGGGGGTGGACTTAAATTGTTCCAAAACAGACATTTATTCCCATGCAAGGTATCCTACAGACCTGGACAGATATTAGGTAGCACCTAAGGGAGCCCCATGCCCTTCTGGAATGAGAGCAGGATGTTTTAGGTACGGAAAATTACATGGGACAATTTTGCAGCACTTTAAAGATATGCAGATCTCTGAAAGCATCGTAACAAGTCTTATGGTATGCACCTGGATGTTTAGGATAACAAAGATCAACCTAACAAACTCCCCTGCTGCCCCAACATTTGCACTCCCACAGAAAAGCTTGGGGTGACATCCACCTTTTTTGAAATTCCAAATAAAGGTAGGAAGAAGTAAGGCTTGTTATAATCCCTACTCACAACATCTGCATTTTCAAAGCCTAGGCGACTTGGTAGTCAATTTTCATTCATTCTAAGTAGTCTTGGATATCAGGCAGCTGTGAAAATTTAAGCCCAAGGATATTTAACCTCCTTCCTCCTCTGTCTCCATGCCAGTGGAATTACTTACCTGCTGACACTATGAGTGTGGTGCCAGTGTCAAAAACTAACTTCTCATACCAGAGAGCTAAAGATCTGTCTCAAAACTTC